CGTTTAACATCTGCATTTAATTATCTTTACAATCAGATACAGAATGTTCAACAAAAAGTGCTCCTAAAACTATATATGTCCCTCTCTCCTGGCCCTCGGCTGACTGACTGCCAATCTCCTCCCAGCAGTTTCTATCAAAGGGTCCGATGACGTCACAGTCTGGGACTGGTCTGGCCCCTGGTCTGGACCCGGTCTTGGTCTTCCCTCTCCACCTGAGCAAACAATGCCCCCCACCACTGGGCGCCTGATTGTGTTGGACTTTTGCCCTCGTCCAGAGTGGGAGAGAGCATTTGTTTATTCCTGGAGTTAATAATTTGTCCCGTTTTGAAAGCTGGTCATCTCTATGATTCCTGAGTGCATATTCCTTTGTCCTTGGGGCTTTTCCCCGTGCACCTTCTTCAGAGGGCCTATTTTCAAAATCATTAGTATACAACATTTTAATTATGCAACACCTAATATATCCCAATGGGAAAGTGCTCATAGACTTCTTTTCTTTCTGGCTCCTTTTCACTTACATGGAAAAGTAATCCCTTCTATCTCAGTAACCATTTAATGCACCGGTTTTATTAAGCACTTTTTTGGACACTCAAAGTTCTGTCCGTCCGTTTTCTTCTGGGGGGGGGAGTCAGAGCTGCACCCAGTACACATAGCGCCAGCCCCTCACTGATCCTCCTGCAGGTGGCAAGTCCACAGGTGCCTTGATCTTCCAGCGGGGGCTTCAGGCAAAGTGAGGTTCAACGTGTTGCCCAAGGACACAACAACAGCAGACATCAGTGGGAGTCATGAAGTAGGTCTTGTGGTGGGGCGATCCAAGATGGCGCCCTATTCAAATGAATGGTTGTGCTCAGTGGCGCTTTGTGACGGCATGGGGGCTGAAAGATTAGCGGAAGTTGCCTGAAACTCGCAAAGATCTATGGGAAACTCGCCTGTATTTGGGCATAGTCTGGTCCTCCCGGTTCTGCGCAGTGGATGATCTCCCATAATGCGTTGCGCCAAACACGCGTGTGTGGGTCTCACACCGGGTCTCACGCACGTGCACAGAGGGGCTCGGCCGCGCTCTGACCAATCAGAGCAGTTCCTCAAAGCGGGAGTTAGAGCGAGAGCCAGAAGAGCAGAGTTTGTGGCACTAAAGTGTGGATTTAAACAAAACCAAAGGATTTAAGAAGAAAAAAAGTTCAGGATGACAAGGGACACTAAAATCCCCACAAAATCCGATCTTTATGAAAGCTGTAGGTTCTCTGTCAGCTGAGGTTGAGCTGTTTTAATATGCATTGAGTTCTATGGGGAAAATTTCTGGGTGGCCCACGTGAATTTAGTCTGGTTCAGTCTGCAGTACCGCGAGAATCCCCTGAGCACGTGAGTTATTCAGCTACAAGCTAGTAATACCCTATCCAGTTAATATAATACATCCATGGCTCAAACCCATGACCTTCAGGCCCAAAGGCCAATCCTCTACCTACTGAGCCACTGTCGCCCTGACGTGAGAATGGGTTCTCCAATAATATGTTCTTCTTCTTGAAATATCTTTACTGCTCCCCTTTAAGCACGGATGTCTTCAAAATCCATCTGCTTGTTAATGAAGACCTCCACAGTCTGGCTTCTTCATATATTTCTGATCTACTTGTGCCTTTTGAACCAGATAGATAGAAAGGTGTCCAGTAGCACCAGAAACACATGCCTGTATACAAACAAAATGCCCCCTATGGGGTATAGAAATCCAGTTTGAAGTGTTGGTGCAGAAGTCACACGTGGGTAAAAGCAGCCCCCCTGTATCTCGCCAACGCCTGCAGAGCTGGGTTCATTCCTCCGACACCTGGTGGAAACATGGCCTGGTTCCTCTGGGGGATCTGAAGTCCGCGTGAGTCCCATCTGAACCGTAAACAGGAAGTTCATTAGGAGCATTCGAGAGCCATGTGCAGCAGCAGCCAGGCCGCTGCGTCCTGGAGAACAGAAAACACAGCACACTCATTACAGAATGGAAGAATGATATACAGCAGGGGTGCTCACACTTTTTCAGCATGCGAGCTACTTATAAAAGGATCAAGTCAAAATGATCTACCTACTACAAAAATGCAAATCATATATTTCAAAAAATATTCTTTATATCTACAATGTATGTTTATGTACATGCAAAACCGCATGAGCCAATATAGCACAACACAACACAATTACCTATGTACATTTTTTGTCATTACCCGAGTTTACTCTTATGACTTGCACTGAATTGAATCGGCCAGGGATGCATAGTCCGGAAAATTGGTGGTAACTCGCTGGCAAGTTTATCGTGGTTTAGCTTTCCTGCACTGAGCGCGGTTGTTTGCGCATGTGCAGTCACTTAAGTGTCAGTAAAACATTACTGAGTAAAACACAGATGTCATTTGACTGTGCTGCCATGTCCATGTGCCATGCCTGTTTTTTTTTTAAATCCAAATATTTCCCCTCCTCAGTTTATAAAATAATTTGCATCCACACATCTGCGTTATCAATCACATTCGTAACATTCCAAACATGTGCGTCTCTTACGTCCTGTCCTGCGTTGGGGAAAAACACAGAAGTGGGCGGAGCTTTGATGCAGACGCCGGTAACGGCACTTTTACAGTCATAGAAGACACTCAGAGTAAAGACGTATGTTTACAAGCACTGACCCCGTCCTCAGCCCTGATTTAGTCCTGGTTTAGTCCTGGTTTGGTTGTTTTCGAGCGTGAGTCCCCGCGATCACTTTGCTGCTCTCTGATGTGGAGGATGTTCGCTGCTGCGAGCATCTCACAGCGAACAGTTTTTAAGGTAGTATGATCCATGCTTCAGTGATCAGAGGAATTTAGGGGGGTACTGTGGCGTGCGAGAACGCAAAACTCTGGTTATCTCTGTCTACACACAAATGCATTAACGGAGTTTTCAAAAATCTCCACTTTGCCCGGAGTTTTTTGTATATATTCGTTTAGAATGTGTAATTTTTTATTTATTTAATGCGATCTACCAATACTACCTTTGCGATCGACTGGTAGATCGCGATCGACGTATTGAGCACCCCTGATATACAGTATGTGATATATGGATATGCTAAATGTTGCAAACGGCTCCTTTTCACGTTCAGAATACAATACAACATATTTGATAAATGCTCCTCCCCTTGTGTCTAAAAGCTCTCTTTTGACGTCATGTTCAGTGCTGTTCTTTCTTGTAAAAGCATTAGTTTTATGAATTTCTCCAGACATTTGTTGTTTGTACATCCTCCTCTGCTTTATGGCCTCGGTTGGGATGCTGGTCGAAAGTTTGATACATTGACCAAAACAACAAGTGTATCATTCTACATCGATTTCACAATGATCAACGCTAAATGGCTAAAAAGCCCTGTAAATAATGCATATTTAACTGAAACTAATGCTTATACTATTCAAAATTTGTCTTGGCAAACTAGGATTTATAATTACGCTTGGCAGATTCCTTTTTTTATAGATTTTTTTTTACCTCCTCATTGACTGATGTCCTTACTTGACTTCAGCTCATGATTCAGGCCACCAAGTCTGTGTGCCCGTCTCCTGAACTGCTTGTATGAAGTCATGCATGTGGTTAGTTTAAAGTAAAGTCTCCTCTTCAGACTGACAGGCTGATGATTATAAAGCCTTACATGTGTTTTAGTGGATAATTATGACTGTAACTCACTCCTCTCCGTTCTCGACTCCAAAATCCCTCAAACGCCTCCAACTGGTTCAGTACGTAGCAGCTAGACTTGGTTCTAACAGAAGGGAGCACATTGCTGCTGTTTTAGCATCTCTCCACTGTTTTCTTGTGCGTTTCAGAATTGTCTTTAAGATTTTCCTGATCACTTTTGAGTCTTTAAATGTGCTTTGAATGATTCAAGGTTCTCAGATCTAGGATGCAATTCATACCTTTGGTGCCACTGACACAAAAGCTTGGTTGATTGTGTCAATGGGACAGTTACAGATGCTGATTGGTAGGCCTAAGACTGTGGCCCATCACCTTTTTGTGCAGAAGGTCAGACGGGTATCCTGGAGCCTGGTCATGAAGAATTCTATAGGTCAGGACCAAGATGTTAAAGTAAATCCTGTGCTGCACAGGTAACCAGTGAAGAGTAGGGACAGGGGTGACGTGGTAGTATTTGAGTGATTTTGCTAACAGTCTTGCTGTTGCATTCTGTGTAATCGGTAGGTGACCAATTTCTGCCAATTAAGGCCTGTTAAATCAAATCAAGTTCAGATTGTGACACTGGGTCTAAGCTTTAATCTGTTTTGCTGCTCGAAATACAAGGTTTGGTCAAAAATAATTCCAAGGTCCCTAAGGGAGGAGTGAATGTTGGACATAGTGTCTATAGTGATAAGGAGCTTTGTACTATATTCTATCTTCTGGACAGAAGATAGCAACGACACAAGAGGCAGTATGGATTGATAGATTGTAACAACATAATATGTTGGAGTATTGAGTTGTGGAATGGCAGCTGATGCCATCTGTTTGTAATTCGCATTGAACTGTTGGCCTGTTTTGTTGGAATTTGGGATTTTCTTGGAGAGTAGTGTTTCCTCACTGAGACTGGAGATTCTGTTGTCTCACTTATAGAGCAATAACAAAAACCAAAGTATTATATTTTTCAGTCTGCCAAAACAGGACTTATTAAGTTTATGCTACGGAAAAATGTCCCATGTCCTGGTCAAGACCCGGTTTGGACTAGTGCTTTTCAACTGTGCCAACAGCAAGCAGACACTAAAAATAGGAAGAATGTGTGTTGTTATCTGAGTTGTTACCAATATTTTTCTTTTACGGGACTCTACCTGACAAAGTTTTCAGGAAGCTTTCACTTGGGACTTTACTGTGAATCTCCTGTTGAACACACTCCTGTTGATCTGACCCAATGTGAGTCTTACAAAGATGGAAGTGTTGCTCATCTTAAATGTATTAAACCTAAAAAGTGTAAGATTCTCATGTGTGTGTGTGTGTGTGTGTGTGTCTGTCTGTCTGTGCCTCTGTGCGGGTGTTTTCTGCAGAGTCTGGACATCCAGGTGGAGGATGTGCGCATCAAGGCTATTTTGTCGTCGTACAGGAAGAGGGTGCCAGTTACCGAGGGTTACGTGGAGGTGAAAGATGGCGGCCGCTGGAAGCAGATTTGCGACGCGGACTGGACGCAAGACAACAGTCGAGTCATCTGTGGCATGTTCGGCTTCCCTGGGGAGCGCAAGTACAACGCCCGTGTCTACAAGTGAGTTTGTGCTTGCCACATGTGTGTGTGCTCCACTGCCGACAAGTATGTGTGTGTGTGTGTACTCAATTTTTTTCTATTTTCTTATTTATTTATTTTTTCACTATTATTATTATTATTATTTTTTTTTTCTTTTACCAGACAATCCACTATTTTTACCAGGTCAAATTGATAGTATTAGTGTTTATACTCAAAGTATTAACATATAAACCAGTCGTGGCAGAGTAGTGGGAGAAGATAGTGACACCTGCACGAAAGCCCTACCACATCACCAGGCCGTCACCACACCAGTGCCCCTCCGCATCCTGGACCAGCAAGAGCCACCATACCTCCTGTCACCATGCTGTCATCGCACACCACCATGCCACCAGCTCCTACAATGATCCTTCACAACATAATTTCATAGTTATTATCAGAAAAAGGACATTTAACCTCTTAACACCCACCGCGCCGGCGAGTACCAATAATAAAACGTATTGTTTTTTATGATGATTAAATGTCAGTAAATTGTGCCAAATTGTGCCGAATGTGCACTACTTGATGAAAAGGAGAAACTGCATAAAAACTGTAAAACTTAGAAGTCTGAAACTTTAGACAGTTGTTGTCAACAACACAATGAACATAGGGTTTGAATATTGTGAACTTACAATGAAGTATACCTTTTTTAGGGCCTTTAGAAATTGAAAATTTTAGGCAAGGCTAAAAAAATAGGTGTTTTTCCCAAACTTCAAAGGATGCAGAGTGAAATAAGAATGACAAACATTATTTTAGTGTATATTTACATAAACTAGAAGGCTCTAGCTTTAATATGATGCATCATACAAGCATGTGAGATGTAAGATGTGTTTTTAAATAAGCAAAGACATTTGGGTATGCCCAACTTTTGTGCACAAGCCAAAATGAGGCGGGTGTTAAGGGATACAAAATACATATTCCTGTATAAACAATACTCGGATACCATATGCTCGCAGACATACCTAAACTTACATATATATCTATATACACACAGTACATGCATGTATACACATATGTTCTATAAATACATACATACATATCACAAATCCACACAAATACACACTAATGCAGATAGCACCTACATATATAGTGTTGCTAATTTGCTTTTGCATGACTTTTCCTAATGAATGATCTTTTGGATCCTCTCACTGGTTGCCCCATATTTCTATACAATAAGTTAAGTAAGGTAGTATTAGTGAGTGGTACAGTAAACGGAGAGCATCAAAATCCAGAACATGTTTTACTTGGTTAATAGCGGCAACACTTTTTGCTACTTTTGACTGTGACTGTGTTAGTCATATGTGTGGTTTCCATGACAGCTTGTTGTCTATTGTCACCCCTAAAAATGTGTATTCAGATACTGTTTCAATGTGTACGCCATCTATGTTTAGTTAAGGAGTGTAATGTAGAAGTCTGAGGATACGTAAAAAAGAATAATTCTTGTGTAAAAGTCAGTTTAGCAGAAAATCAGGCTTAAGAAGTTGAGTAAAGAATAGCTGTATGAGTTGGACACATGTAAGCATATGGTTTCAATCAAATCTAACAGAGAACAGTGTGTTTAACTCCTCTCTGACGTGAGCTCTTGTGACATTATAACAGGAAAAATGCATTAAATATGGTCAATGCTGTTGTTTATTTGCACACTGGCAATTTGTGCATCATTAACTGTCCCTTTATACCTCCAGAATGAAAGTGGCTAAGATCCAACTATAGTTATAAGTATTGTCAGGATTCAGGCAGACAGAGACGGATCGTGGTGTGCCAAACTCTGGAAGTTTATTTAAGTTTCTCTCAAGTTCCACTGGTTTCCTCTGTTTCTTTCTCCCAGACAGAATAAAGGCAGTACACAGTTTATATAGTCATTGTCACGTCACACATCGAAAGACATACGTGTCACAAAGAGACAGTCAAATCATAGTCATAACATGGAGTCCTTGTACAGTCCTGCACGTAGGCCATATTGCTATCTAATACTAACACCCTCCCCTTTGATCACATAATCACATGTGATCACTCAAATCGATCAATCAATAAAGTGGAAAAAGAAAAAAAAAAATTCCAAAAAAAAACTTTAAAAAATTATTAAAAACAAAGAAAATGTATGCATTAAACTCATAATCATCAAATCAATATCATTCGATTTTATCCTCTATCCTGGGAAAAAACAAACAAACAAAAATGAAGTAAATAAACAAACAAAAAACAACAAACAAACAAAAACAAATCAAAAAACAAACAAACACTATTGGACACAGTAGAACTCAGCAGATTCAGTCAAAACACAGACAAAAAACGAGCTGAGTCTCAATTTGAAGCTAATTTCACTTTTATTACTCTATACTTTTATTCTAATGCTAATTGTTTACACTACACTTCACTTATTTCACTGTATTATTTTCACTTTTCAATCTTAGACTGTGTACTTTACTTTCACTATTCACTATAGTTTAAAACTATTCTAATCTATTTACAAATATGTTTGCATATTTGATTCTATTGAGCCATATTCTTAAACATACATTTTAATCTAATAAATCTCTCTTTAGTTTACTTTCATTATCAGTGGCTTATTGTTAGTGAGATTTTGCTCCATGTCTATTCTCATTCTCAGGAATAAAACTGTGAACACAGTAAGGCAAATGGTCAACATTTACACTTCTATAGTGGTCAGTGATTTATTACTTTTTATTATCTAAAGATATTATTGTCAGGCAGTTTGGGATGAATGTACATCATTAATCAAATTAGTATTATCCTAATAGTAGCTAATTAGGTTTGGGGTTGGGGTCAGTTATTCTACAATGGTGTTTGTGCTGGAAACTTCTTTGGTCCCTTTACCATTGATATTAGCACTGGCTACAAATAATCTCTATTTTTGAAAGAATCTATGGTTGATGTCTCTATTTCTACACTATTGTGACTCCAAAGTTTGGCTGCAGTTTGAGCAAAGGCATATTCCTAATTTGTGACTTCTGTCACTTTCAATGGCTGTAACATTATTCTGATTCTAATATTTTAGCTGATCTATCAAAAGGATAACATTGTAGGGTACTATTTTAACTCTTACGTGGAAATATGTTTATGAACAACAAAGGAAGTCAAATTCTACTCTTTTACTACTATTTAACATCTACTAAAACGCTACAATACTCATACTTTATCATTTTAAAACATTTTAACTGTTGCTCAGTCTCCCAGACTAAAAAAGTCAAATTTTTTGTCTGTCAGATGTCTGAATACTTAACATGTATATTGCATTTGGTCACAGTTGTGGTTGTAGCAATAGCATCGGCAATAGACGTTTTCATTGGCTGGTTCTTGTTCTGCAAATGGCTGTGTCCAATAGATCATCAGATGTCCAGAAGCTAGGGACAAACAAAAACAAAAGAAAGAATCATGAGTATCTCTCTCATTTAGCACTCATCAATGTATGATTTCAAAAATATAAACATCACTCCCCAGTTTTTTCTCTCTCAGATCCTCAGGTCCTCAGATCCTCAGGGTCCTCAGGTCCTCAGGGTCCTCAGGTCCTCAGTGTCCCCTGAGGGTGAGTCTCAGTCGTCATCAGGTCAGGTCATAGAGAGATGTCATCTTGGACATCAGTAGGGTCCAAGCCATGGTTCTGGTCTCTCCAGATGCACATCAGGATCTCCAGATACAGTCTTTTCACTTGGGTCGCACATCAGGTCATTTGCGATGCACTTCTGGTCAATGGTGCAGTGTCTCAGTTCCTGTACACAGCTTGTTATGCAATAGTTACTTTCTATGGTTAAGTCACTTTGATTCTACTTTAACACAATTTCTATTCATGCTGTTGCTAATGTCCCTTAGACAAAAACAAGCGCAATAATTCAGTTTACTTCTCTAATTTGGGTTTGGGTTTTTATCAGATGTAATCAATGTAATTACTTCACACAGTACAAAATCAACAAATCAAAAGTGTCAGGACAGACGTCAATTAAGTCCATGACAATATAGAATTCAAATGAACATTTCTGGTCTCAAAAAATACTGATTCAAATAAAGATTCAAGTGATAGACAATTAAAAATATGTGTTTACATTGGAGTAAACTTTTAAAATGCTTTTTTCTCATGTTCTGCTTTTTCATGTATCTATATGTAAATGTGAATGTGTGTGTATGTGTGTATGTGTGTGTATGTGAATTTTGGGGTTGTGTCTCAAGACTCCTCGAACCACCTGTAGGTGTCAAAGGTCACACTGTGGTGATGCAAACCAACTGGACACACTCTCAACTCTCATTCAGGTCTTTCCCTGATGCTCCACCCATCACGTCTCCAGACACCTCTCTTTCATGGCCCCGGTCTCACTCCCACTTACTTCTGTAGTGGGGGGAGGGGCAAGGAGGTGGCATTTCCCTTTGCTCTTTGATCTGTGACCTGTGGCTGGGTGGGCTTTGCGCTGTCCAGTGTCCAGCAGTCCAGTGACCCTGTACAGTGTGTGCTCTTGGTTCTGGAAAACAACCTTATAGTCAAATTAAAAACAACAAAGATTGTGAATGAGATTGTTTTTCTCCCTAAAGTCAAAACAATTTTGAAGCGCTCTGGGTTTTCCCAAGCGCTATGTAAATAAAAGATTACTTATTATCTTACTAATGATGACATTTAAAACCAGAAACTCTCAATATAAAAAACAAGACTCAAATCTCTTAAACCTTCTTAAACTTTAAAATATGTATTATGTACTTTTGCACTGTGTGATTAATTATCTATGCATTTATCTCAGCATATATTTTACTAATTTAAAATAATTGCAGCATTTTTCAAATGAAGTCAGTATGAATTGGAGCACATTTTAGACCAGTCTCCTCTGCTGTGGCATCAGCAGGAGCAACAAGGTCAGGCGTGTAGTCAAAACAAAAACAAAAGTCACCACTTGCATGTGAATTGGGTAGTTTAACTTAATAATATAATACTTTTACAGCCTAATTCCCTCTTTCTTTTTTAGACGAAGTCTACAATCATT